TGTCGCGAGGGTGTACGTACACGTCAGCGGAGGGAGACATGGTGACACTGCTTCTAGAGTAGCTGCTGCTGCTGCTGCTGCTGCTGCTGCTGTTGCTGCTGCTGCTGCTACTTTCAAATTGTTGTGTTTGGTCTCTGAAGGTGAGTGTTCTGCCCCCTTGCTGCTGCTTCCACTGCTGCTGCTGCTGCTGCTGCTGCACCTCCTTTCCATGTTCTTCCTGCATTTTTTGGCGCTGCTGCTGCTGCCGCTCCTCCTCTTTCTCCGCTCCCCCCTCCTGCTGCTCCTGCTGCTGCTGCTGCTGCTGCTGCTGCTGCTGCAGGTGGAGGTGCAGCTTGCGGCTTCTGCTTTCTTTGGTGTCTTGCTGCAGCACAGCTCTTGCGTCTGAGAGTGGTGCTGCTGGCAGCCGGTGAGCAGCAAGTCTGCAGATTTCCTCATTAACCCGCAGCAAGTGCTGCTCCAGCAGCAGCTTCGACTTCTCCACGTCCCTGCAGCAGCAGCAGCAGCAGCAGCAGCAGCAGGGTCAGCGGCAGGAGCAGCGGGGAGAAGACGGCCGGGAAGGGGAGGGAGCAGCAGCAGCAGCAGCAGCAGCAGCAGCAGCACAGGCAGTGACTCTCGCAGAGGCATCAGTGTTCGCCTCAAGAAGAGCGATGCTGCTGCTGCTGCTGCTGCTGCTGCTGCTGCTTTCTGCATCTGATTTTGTTGCTGCTACTGTCTCATGTACGTGCGCTGCTGCTGCTGCTGCTGCTTCTGCTCTCTGCCTCTGCACTGGGTGCCTTGGCTGCTGCTTCCTCCCCTACACTTGCTGCTGCTGCTGCTGCTGCTGCTGCTGCTGCTGCTGCTGCTGCTACCCTGAGGGCTCTCCGCAGAGCGACAAATTGCCCAGCGCAAGGGAATGGCCCAAAGGGTCGTTCAAAGCCACCCCGAGATCTGCTGCTGCTGACAAGTGCACTCGCGCTTCCTCGTCGCGGCCTGCAGCAGCAGCAGCAGCAGCAGCAGCAGCAGCGTGCAAACCAGCAGTAGCAGCAGTAGCCGCAGCAGCAGCAGCAGCAGCAGCAGCAGCAGCAGCAGTAGCAGCAGCAGCGACGGGGGCAGCGCTTTACCCATTCGGTGCAGCAAAATGCCCAGATTCATGTGGGCGATAAGTTGGCCTAAACGTACAGCAAAACAAAAGCAGCAGCAACAGCAGCAGCAGCAGCAGCAGTGGAGCAGCTGCAGCAAAGGAGCAGCAGCAGGGCGTCCAGCAGCAGCGAGAAGACGGCGCGTGCGCCAGAGCATCAAGGTTATGAGAAGCAGCAGCAACAGCAGCAGCAGCAGCAGCAGCAGCAGCAGCTGCAGCAGCAGCAGCAAAACTATTGCGTAGGTCTGTATACCTGCCTCATCAGACAGCTCCAGCTGCAGCAAATGCTCCTGCAGGGCTTCCTCGAGCCTGTCTAGTGCAGCAAGCACAACTCCCTTGCTGAACACAGGAGCAGCAGCAGCAGCAGCAGCAGCAGCAGCAGCAGCAGCAGCAGCAGCCGCTGCAGCAGCTGCTGCAACAATTGATCTTGCTACAGAAGTTTGCTGCTGCCAGCAGTAGCAAGCAGCGCAGCCAAACAGCCGCAGGTCTAGGAGCTCCAGCAGCAGCAGCAGCAAAACAAGCATCAGCAGCAAGCGCAATAGAAGCAGCAGCAGCAAAAGTATACGCAGCAGCAGCAGCAGCAGCAGCAAAAGTATACGCAGCAGCAGCAGCAGCAGCCCTTCCCCTAGCCGCAGCCCCCACACAGTTTGCTCAGCAGCAGGCCCTGGTGCAAGGAACCTAATAAGTGTTTTAGGGTTTAGGGTTTAGAATTTAGGGTTTAGGGTTTAGGGTGTAAGGTGTAGGGTTTAGGGTTTAGGGTTTAGGGTTTAGGGTTTAGGGTTTAGGGTTTAGGGTTTACGCGTTGTGGGCGAGGGCCTGCATGCGTTTGTCCTGCAGGGCCTGTGCTGCTTCTAGGAAGCGCTGGTGCTGCTGCAGTGCTGCTGCTAGCTGCTGCTTCTTTTCATACAAAAGGCCCAAGCAGTAGTTTTGTGCTGCTGCTGCTTCTCCGTCTCCCTCTCGAGCAGCAGCAGCAGCAAGCAGCTGCCAGTCTTGCTGCCGGAAGTTCAGAGACCGCAGCCCGTGGGCTGGCATGCAGGCGCTTCGCGCCATCCTGCAGCAGCAGCAGCAGCAGCAGCAGCAGCAGCAGCAGCAGCAGCAGCAGGGGGAGGTGGGGGTGAGGGCAGCGACGGCAGTAGGCAGCGGTGGCGGAGCAGTAAGCAGCAGCAGCAGCAGCAGCAGCAGCAGCAGAGTGTGCTGCCGCTGTTGCTGCAGTGGCAACAGCGAAAGCAGCAACAGCAGCAGGGGCTTCAGCAGCTGCAGCAGCAGCAGCGGCAGCAGCGGGAGCACTAGCTGCAGCAGCAGCGGCAGGAGATGCAGCAGCAGCAAGAGCAGCTGCAGCAGCATACCATCTAATCTTTCTCAAGTAAGTTAATGGGGGCTCTCCCTGGAGATCATCTTCGCAGCTCTCCCCCTGCTGCTGCTGCTGCTGCTGCTGCTGCTGCTGCTGCTGCTGCTGCTGCTGCTGCTGCTGCTGGGTTTGGTCTTTGTGCTTTTTGTGGGCCCTGGCAGCCACGTGGCTGAGCTGCTGCGTGTCTGCTGCTGCAGCAGCAGCAGCAAAAGTGAACTCCCAGTCAGGACTTCGCAAAGGAGTGCAGAAGCGAAGGGGAGAAGGCGGCCGCTGCAGCTGCAGCAGCAGCGGCTGCCCCGTGCTTCTGAAGGCTCCTGCTGCTGCTGCTGCTGCTCCCAGTGCTGCTTCCGACGGCCGCAGCTCCACAGAGCGCCACCCCAAGCGCCCGTACTTCAGCTGCAGCAGCAGCAGCAGCAGCAGCAGCAGCAGCAGCAGCAGCAGCAGCGAGGGAAGCGGTTGGGGCAGGACGAGGAGGAAAGCAGCAACAAGGTAAACGGCAGCAGCAGCAGCAGCAGCCACAGGAGCAGCAGCAGCAGCAGCAACTGGAACAGCAGCGGCCAGCGTAGCAGCAACTACAGCAGCAGTCCTAGCAGCAGCAGCAGCAGCAGCAGCAGCAGCAGCAGCAGCGGGCACTAAATTCAGCAGCAAGAGGCCACTTGCGAGCTCAGTAGACAAAATAAAATAAATAAACAAACAAAAGGAAATAGATAAAAGAAATAAATAAAATAAAATAAAATAAAATAAAATAAAATAAAATAAAATAAAATAAAATAAAATAAAATAAAATAAAATAAAATAAAAATTAATTGAAGACACCTCTTGAATAAAGGTTTCCGTTTCGCTGCCTGGGGGAAGATTTTTTTTCCGAATTCGTTTTGCTTTTGCTTCTGCTGCTGCTGCTGCTGCTGCTGCTGCTGCTGTTGCTGCTGCTGTTGCTGCTGCTGCTGCTGCTGAGCAGCTGGGAATGCTGCTGCAGGGAGCAGCAGCAGCCAAACCCCCCTTGAGACACGAGGGGCCAGAAGCGTCCACGTCTTTCATCGCCCCAAACCCTAAACCCTAAACCCTAAACCCTAAACCCTAAACCCTAAACCCTAAGCCATATGCCCTGGTTCTAGACCGCAAACCCTAAACCCTAAACCCTAAACCCTAAGAGTCAAGGAACAGCCCCCAGGGCTGGCAGCGGAGAGAAGGGGGCCCCCTCGCCGGCATCCAGCAGGGGGCCCCTCTTAAACCCTAAACCCTAAACACTAAACCCTAAACCCTAAACCCTAAACCCTAAAGCCTCGGCCATATATGCCTGGCAGCAAGTACCGGCCTTATTTTCTCTTGCTAAGCATGCGGGCTGGTTCCGAGGGTGTACAGATTAGGGTTTAGGGTTTAGGGTTTAGGGTTTACAGCCTGTTGCAGCTTTGTGTCTTCTGTTACAGCAGCAAGTAACACAGTTAGAATTTCCGAGCAAGAAGAGCAGCAGCAGCAGCAGCAGCAGCGGCCGCTGCTGCTGCTGCAGCCGCTGCTGCTGCTGCTGCTTGTAGGCAACGGGGCCCGGGCCTCTGCAGTGGCTTTAAGCAGCCGCTGCGAGCAGCAGCAGCAGCAGCAGCAGCAGCAGCAGCAGCAGCAGCAACAAAGTCTACTTTATACTTAAATTAATAATTAAAAACAGCGCCTCGAGATGGGTAAAAAAGCAGAAAGAGAAAACCCCCAGAAATTGAGTCCGGAGCCTGATGCATGCGCGAGCGGTGCACTGGCTGCTGCAGCTGCTGCTGCTGCTGTTGCTGCTGCTGCTGCTGCTGCTGCATTTAAGGGCATATTCTAGCACTAAATTCAGTTAAAAACAAATAAATATTTAAATAATATTAAATGCAATTATAATTTAAGTCATTTAAATTCAATAACTCGCAAACAGCCCGCAGCAGCAGCGGCCGCTCATGCGTCGCTCAGGGTCACCTGGATTCCCAGATCCTCGAAATTGAAAATAAAAGTTTGAAATAAATCAAAAATCAATTTATTTATTTAAATAAAATCAAAATAATTAAAATAATTTATTTACTTCAATGAAACAACCCATGCCACTCCGAAAACCACCCAAACCTCAAACCCCAAACCCTAATGTGACTGCCACACACCAAACTCTAAACCCTAAACCCTAAACCCTAAACCCTAAACCCGAGGCCTTTTAACGTGAGCTGTAAACCCTAAACCCTGGCCCCCGGACCCTCGGTCCTAAATCCTTACCCTGTAGCCCCAACCCCTTCCTCCAAACCCTAAACCCTAAACCCTAAACCCTAAACCCTAAACCCTAAACCCTAAACCCTCAGCCCAGGGTTTTGGGCGCCGCGTCTCGACTAAAAGAGAAGAAACGAAGCGCCTGGCTGCATTACGAAAGCAAAAATACTTTTAGTTTTTTATTTTATTTCATTTTATTTATTTTATTTATTTTATTTTATTTTATTTTATTTTATTTTGCCTTTTATTTGTCGATAAAGAAAAAGGACTTCTTTGCTGCAAAGCTTTGAAGGGGATTTAACTTTGCAGTTCGGGGAATAAACCCTAAACCCTAAACCCTAAACCCTAAACCCTAAACCCTAAACCCTAAACCCTAAACGCTAAGGCAGCATCTTCCCGTCGCCCTTTTTTAAAAAAAGCGTTCAAAGACAAAGAAATATAAAAAAGAAGGCTGCAGCAGAGCAGCCTTGAAAGTCTAGGGTTTAGGGTTTAGGGTTTAGGGTTTGGGAGTCCCTCTGGCAACTTGAAGTCCCCGAAAACACTAACTTTAGGAACAAAGGGAGGCTCTCCTCTTCGCAGCCGCGCCAGGTGCTGCTGCCGATACATGTTTGCCCTGCAGCAGCAGCAGCAGCAGCAGCAGCAGCAACATCAGCAGCAGCAGCAACAGGAGCAGCAGCAGCAGCAGCAGCAGCAGCAGCAGCAGCAGCAGCAGCAGCAGTTCGATACGTGTGTGTGACAGCGGGCTCGTTCGAAGGCCCGCGCGCAGCTCGCGAGTCCCTCTGTGGAGCCCTGGGGAGCAGAAGGGTTTAGGGTTTAGGGTTTAGGGTTTAGGGTTTAGGGTTTGGACGGACTTGCGCAGCATTTTGCGCAGCTCCCCCAGCTGCAGCAGCAGCAAAACCCGCGGCTCTGAGGGCCACCGCAAAAGCCGGTGGCCTTCCAAAGAAGGACTCAGCAGTTTTTTGACAAGTTCTTCTTTTTCGATTCTTTCCTGAAATCAAATTAATTAAATTAATTTAATTAATTAAATTAATTAAATTAAATTAAATTAAATTAATTAATTCATTTAATTAAATTTATTAATTTAATTCGATTTAATTAAAGCAATTCATTTAGTTTCATTCATTTAATGCAATTAGCAGCTAGTCAACCAGCCAGCCAGCTAGCCAGCTAGCTAGCTAGCTAGCTAGCTAGCTAGCCAGCCAGCTAGCTAGCTAGCTAGCTAGCTAGCCAGCTAGCTAGCTAGCTAGCCAGCTAGCTAGCCACCCAGCCAGCCACCCAGCCAGCCAGCCAGCCAGCCAGCTGGCCAGCTATCCTGCTAGCTGGCTAGCCAGCCAGCTAGCTAGCTAGCCAGCTACCCACTAGCTAGCTAGCTAGCTAGCTAGCTAGCTAGCTAGCTAGCTAGCTGACCTGTTTGTACTTGAGGTACTTGGAAGTCCACTGGCGCTGCATTTGCATGCGGGGCCAAATGCTGCGGAGCTTCTCGGGGTGTACGTACACCTCAAAGCGGGCCCTTGCTGCTACGCGGTCCGGCAGCCCCACAGTCAGCAGCTGCGGCAGCAGCAGCTGCAGCGCAGCTTTTGCTGCTGCTGCTGCTGCTGCTGCTGGCTGCAGCTGCAGCAGCAGCAGCTCCCGCTGCACCGCCGCCTCCAACGCCTTCTCCCGCGGAACAGCGCTCTCCTGCTGCTGCTGCACTTGCTGCAGCACTTGCTGCACCACTCGCTGCTGCACTTGCTGCTGCTGCTGCCGCTGCTGCTGCTGCTGCTGCTGCTGCTGCTGCTGCGGGAAGTAGCGGCGGAAGAGCCTGATGTAAGACCGCAGCCGCCGCACGGACTTCATAGGAGAGCCCGACTCCCCGCTGCTGCCGCTGCTGCTGCTGCTGCTGCTGCTGCTGCTGCTGCTGCTGCTGCTGCTGCTGAGAGCCTGCGCGAGCTGCTGCTGCTCGCGGGCCAAGTGCTGCAGCAGCTCGCTGCTGCAGTGCACGTCCAGCAGCACTTTGCGCTGCAGCAGCTCATACTGCTCGCGGCTGTCTTTGTGTTTAAAAGGAGACCGCAGCAGACACAGCAGCTTCCGCTGCGTCGGCAAGGAAGCCACGGACACCACGAACGCCGGCACCTGCTGCTGCTGCTGCTGCTGCTGCTGCTGCTGCTGCTGCTGCTGCTGCTGCTGGTCTGGGTGCTGCTGCGCAGCAGCAAGAGCGTTGATGCGCTGGAGGCCCCTTTCTATTCTCCGGAGGGCCTCTGCCAAATCATCTTTTCTGCTGCTGCTGAGCCGCAGCCGCAGGTAGCAGCCGGGGGGCCAGGCGAAGGCAGCAGCAGGAGTTGCTGCTGCTGCTGCTGCAGCCTGCTCCGCCACGGTGGCCCCCGGGCGCCGCGCTGCTGCTGCTGCTGCTGCTGCAGCAGCAGCAGCAGCAGCAGCAGCAGAGTCTGCAGGCACTCTTATGTAGTGCTTCTTTATGTGCTGCGCACTTCTCTGGTGTATGTACCGACGGGTCTCGTGCGGCGGCAGCGGCCGCCTGCCGGGCCGCCGCGGCACCAGCACCCCTTTGCTGCTGCTGCTGCTGCTGCTGCTGCTGCTGCTGCTGCTGCTGCTGCTGCTGTCGCTAGAGCTGGGGTGGTCCCCGCCGTCCTCGCTGCTGGCCACTGAAGGCGCTTCAGAGGTCTCACCCCCGCTGCTGCTGCTGCTGCTGCTGCTGCTGCTGCTGCTGCTGCTGCTGCTGCTGGGTGCAGAAAAGCTGCGTCTCAGCGGCATTGACTGGAAGCAAGGCAGCAGCAGCCCAAACCTTGCGAGGCCCCCGGGGGGCCCCCCGGGGGGC